TTTAAAACTCGAGGTTAGAACTCGAGGTTTAAAAACTCGAGTTCATGACCGCGAGTTTACAAACTCGAGTTCATGACCGCGAGTTTACAAACTCGAGTTCATGACCGCGAGTTTACAAACTCGAGTTCATGACCGCGAGTTTACAAACTCGAGTTCATGACCGCGAGTTTACAAACTCGAGTTCATGACCGCGAGTTTACAAACTCGAGTTCATGACCGCGAGTTTACAAACTCGAGTTCATGACCGCGAGTTTACAAACTCGAGTTCATGACCGCGAGTTTACAAACTCGAGTTCATGACCGCGAGTTTACAAACTCGAGTTCATGACCGCGAGTTTACAAACTCGAGTCCATGACCGCGAGTTTACAAACTCGAGTCCATGACCGCGAGTTTACAAACTCGAGTCCATGACCGCGAGTTTACAAACTCGAGTCCATGACCGCGAGTTTAAAACTCGAGTCCATGACCGCGAGTTTAAAACTCGAGTCCATGACCGCGAGTTTACAAACTCTCGGTTTTAAAAACTGTCGAATTTTGAGAATCTGAAAACTGTTCTGAATAGCCCTGAAGATCGCGATCCCTCCTGTATCTGTTTCAAGTCAAAATCGTTTCTGCAGGCATATAAAAGCATAAACTCGAGTTTTCAATGAGAGTTTTTCGAAAATTTGCAGAAAACGAAAAAGAAGATATGCTGTAGAATCGGTTTTGAGAGGCGATTCCAACAGTATAATTTTTACAGATTTTCGTTCACAAACAAGATTACAGGAGCAAAACTCTATATGAAGAAAAAGAGAAGAAAAGCAGAGCATTCTTCGTTAGATCCAAGAAAATCGCAGATACATTCAACCTGTTTCACGCCTCGGCTCTGATACCAAATGTTAATCCCAGAATACTTAACAAACAACAAATATAGCAGTTATAGAAGAAGCAGATAGAAAGATATGTAGATATTATACGCGAATCTGGTATACCGTATGAAAACCGGCCGCTGCTCTCCCTGGAGAAGGAGAGCAGCGGCAACCCTAATCTCTCTCTATCTTTACGCCTCTGAACTCTAAGCCTCTATCGATCGTTAGTTAGGGTTCCCGTAAGTTAGCCTCCTTTTATAGGAGAAGTTGGCTAACTTACGGGTTACAAGGAAGCCCCCGGGCTGATATACATTTGTGGCCCGTATTACACGTTTAATTGATAACTACACAAATACAAAGATAACTAACTAGATTGAACACCATAAAATATTCCCAACAGACCCCAGCCTTGGCTGGGTCGTCTTCTTCACTGAATTGCCGGAAACGAAGTGAAAACGCAGGGGGGAAGGGACTTACTTCGTGGGAGCACGAACGGCAGCGGTAGGGGCTCCTCCTGGGTTGGAGACGGTCGGCAATGGACTGGCGGCAGCGGTGGTGTCCCCCTTCTTCCTCGTTTCTCCGCCGTGGAAGTTTGCCCGACGAACTCCGGCGAGGCTTTTCTCCCTTGTTTCACGACCGTTTTCAACGATTCTTTCTCCGTTGGATTCGTCTCACGAAGGGGAAGGTTTCAGAGGTGTTTTCAGGGCTTGGTTCTGGCTAAGACGATGGGTCGCAATTTTATATATATATACGTATATGTGTATATATGTTGCAGGTTTCGGGATGAAAAAAACACAAGTCCTAGACTATTATTTATAGGTGTAGGTCGAGGGTTTTTAGGCTGCGTTAGAGTTGGAGTTAAATTAAAACAGCTTATTCCCTCATCCGATTTTATTTCGTAAGTTGCGTTGGTTTTACCGGACAAGAAAAAGAGAACATCAAGGAGTGTAGTTCTTTCTTCTTTAGGACTATGAATGTAGTTCGTTTCTAGCTCAGGTTCATGCTGCGCACGTTTTACGTATTAAGCCTTAGTGAGAAATTTTCGTTTGAATACTAGAATAGTTTTTTGTAGTGTTAATATACATGCTACGGAGTATACATATTATCATACTAGTAGGTTTTGTATTATTACTACGTATGTGTTTATATGTGTATAATTATTATTTGACACTTATTATTTAGTGTTTTAACATTTATAAAATGTCATTTCCACCATTTCACAAAAATGTCACTTCTATTATCGGACCACTTTTATCAGACTAAAAATGTCACAAATGTTAATTTTCTGTCTGGTTCACTTGTTTAATAAAATGTTGTTCCTATTACTGAAATATTTTTATCTGACTAAAACGTCATAAATTTTGAAATTTATCTGATTAGAATGTTTCAACTGTTGAATTTTTGTCTGACTCGATTAATTGTTAAAATGTTATTTTCGTAATATTTTATCTGACTAAAAATTATTTTTATTTTTATTTAAATTTTTGAAGTGTCACAGATAGCCCTGCACGAACTTGGGTTGGAGATGAGCTTTGCGTGACTCAGAATGAATGGTGATGTAATGATCACTGGTCTCGTCATGACCACGTACTTAGCTTGAATTTCGAAGCCTGTCAAAGAAGAGTTTGAACCAGCGCCAGGTAGTCTAGGCTCAGGAGTGGGCAAAGAAAGCACATGATGCCTTGAAGTTATATGCGGCTGGTCATGGAGCAGATGATCGGAGCATGCCCAAACTTGGAATGATAGGTTGACATATCGTCTTCTCGGATTTTACCCTGAGAAGTTTGGTTCGCCCAAGATCATGTTTGACCCTGATGAGTTGGAAAAGGTGGGTCACGACGATGACCTCGATACTTGGTCTTCTAGACACTTTCTAGAGGTTCATGATGATCTGGATGGAGTCACCCACGAGCATGATTTGGGAGTGTTTTCCAAGTTGTCACAGAGAAGATGGTCATGATCTTGGAACTATTCTACATGATTTTCTTCATTGCTTGAGCTTGTATGTGTGCTTCATTCATCTTTCAAATTATTTGGTCGTTTTTCATTCAAGAATACTTGGATAACTTATTAGGGATCTAGCTCCCCACCTAGGCCGCGAGGGACGGAAGGTCGACAGGGTCGACCTTGACCGCGCCCTGCTGGGTAAGGCGGGGCTGAACCGCACACTGTCGGTCTAGGACCGACAAGTTGTGCAAGCTGTTCGACCGGCGTTTGGACAACGGATGTATGAGAGGGGCTCGGGGCACGACCTCTCGCATACCTTCGACCCGGAGGTCGGTCTTACACCACCTTGACTTGTACAACTAGTTTCATACTTAGGAAATATTTTGGTTGTTCCCTTTATGAAAGTCGAACTGAAGTCTGCCAAACGTAAGGGCACGGCCCTGCATGATCAGACCAGAACGGACCCGCATCGTTGAATCCTATCAAGCGCGTATGCGGGCTGTTAAGCCTAGCAACGTAAGACAATGGATGTACGAAAGGGGCTCGGAGCACGACCTTTCACATTCTTTTGGCCCGGAGACCAGTCATGTAGTTGCCGCATCGTTGATTGGATCATACGTGCATGCGAGCTGTTTAGACAACAACGTGAGACAACAGATGTACGAGAGGGGCTTGGAGCGCGACCTCTCGCATACCTTTTCGACCCGTAAGCCGGTCTTACAATTGCCCTGACCAAGCACCTAACCCCGGACGTAGAAAATAGTTTGATTATTTCTTTGCCCGAGGGCCGAGCCGTGGTCGACTAAACACCGAGAACGAGACGTGGTATACATATACTCTTTTTTTTCTCTCCTCTTTTTTTATTGCTCTCTTTTTTTTTCTCTTTTTTGTTGCTCTCTTTTTTTTAGCCGCCGCCCGTTGATTTCCAAGTGAGGTCGGACCTCATCAAATTCAAGATTGGAAAATGAAATATTTTTTTTAAGTAATGAAAGAATTTGAGAACTTGAGGAGTTGCTCCGAATTCTGCACTTGATCTACAATTTGTGATGATCGACTCATAGAACGTGAGAGAGCTGATATGGAATCTACACCTGATCAATGAGCTTGCAGTGCTCCCCTCATATGATTAGAGAAGGTTCTCGGTGCTCCGCACTTGATCCGCGAGCTTGCAGTGCTCCTCCGCTCATAGAATTTGACAAGGTGCCCTTCATTGATCTTGATCTTCAGCCCGGTTTCTGGAGGTCAACCTGGATTTCCTCGACTTCATAGGTTGGTTCATCACGAAGCTGAGGACCCTCCTCATACTTCATAGCTTTGTTGTTGATGGTATGGATCCTGAGGTCCACCCGCTCGAGTTGCTTGAATGGCTTCGCGTAATGGCTTCGCGTTGCAATGTTTTATTTCTATGGTGCTTCTGGGTATTAGCGTGTATGCTTCCACGCCTTCGTCTAATAGCTCTGGGTTGCAAGGTTTGTTCCCCTCTAGCAACAGTGATTCCAAAACATCGAGTCACAGCTCCGTTTTGCAAGATTTGTACCCCTTGGCAACTGTGCTTCCATGCTAATGTTAATTTCTGCGTCATATGTCATCTTTGTATCATCCGAGGAATGTCTCCATGTCCACAAGAATAATGTGAATCTAATGTTTATACACCTCTCCCGTGGCGTCAACCTCTAGAACCCTTGAAGCAAAGCTCCTAGAGAGCGGCAGCTTCCCGGAATGATTTCACCCTAGCATGAAGATGTGTCGACTTCGTGCGCAGAGCACGATAGGGCTCACGTCTAAGACGATCCCAGTCGAATTACATGTTACAACCGTGATCCAGTGTACCCCTCAAGTCTCTAGGATTCGACAATTGATTTTAGAGATCTCCTGTCAGCATCATCACTTGGCTCCTTACGTGATGGTCGTTGTGCTGTGCATACTTCTCGGCGTGAGTGAAGACTTCCTATTGGTGTTCTCGTCTTCTGGGTCATCACGCTTCCCTTTGTGCTCCTTTCCTTCTTTCCTTCTTCATCCTTCTTCCTCTGCTCGGCGTCTTCTGCCTCAGCCTGGCGGTCTACATGCCCTTGTGGAATGGCTTCACGTTGCAAGGTTTGTAACCCTTTAGCAATGATGCTCCCAGGACTTCGAGTAACAGCTCTGCGTTACAAGGTCTGTACCCCTTCAGCAACAGTGCTTCCTTCCTTCCCGGGACAAGTGTTGTCGGGAGGGCCTCCTTCCTGACTGCCGTTGCATTGCAAGGTTTGTGCCCCTTTAGCAACGATGCTTCAAGGCCTTCGAGTAACAGACCTACATTGCAAGGTCTGTACCCCTTTAGTAATGATGTTTCCATGCCTTCGAGTAATAGCACCGTGTTGCAAGGTCTGTACCCCTTTAGCAACGGTGCTTCCTTCCTTCCCGTTACAAGTGTTGCCGGGAGGGCCTCCTTCCTGGCTACTGCTGCGTTGCAAGGTTTGTACCCCTTTAGCAACGATGCTTCCATGCCTTCGAGTAATAGCTCTACGTCACAATGTATGTGCCCCTTTGTCAACAACGCTTCATCATGGTACCAGTGCATGGTTCTGGGACGTGGAGGTCGGCCACATATGGCTCTCCCCCGACGACCTTTCTCCTCAGCTCGTGTAGCCTTAGCCTCAGATCTTTCACCGCATCAGGGGCTAGTTCTACTCGTGTGCGCCCAACGCGGAGCTGAACTTGAGTAGAAGACTCTGCAACCCTCTCACGTACGTGAGGTCAAGATTTAGCATGACGTCCGTCTGGGAAGGTTGTCCGCCTGCCCAGTCGACGGAAGTGATAAGATGAGTCGTCCTTCCTTGCTACCATGGCTACCCAACTTGTCGGGACACATACTCCCTTCGAGATCCATTTATGCTGGCACATGTTTGCTGATACATCTCCTGGGGTGTCAGCTGTCTACCCGGTTGACGGGAGTGATGAGATGAATCAATCCCTCCTTCTCGGAACGAGTGTTCCCGGGAAGGCCTCCTTCCTTACTGTCGTGGCTAACTTGCTGGGACACATACTCTATTCGGGATCCGCCCGTGCTGGTACGTCTGTGCTGGTCTGTGCTGGTACGTCTGTGCTGGTACGTCCCTTCAGGGCCCATCTTTGCTGGTACGTCTGTGCTGATACGTCTCCCGGGGTAGCCAGCCCTCCTACCTGGTCGACGAGGGTGATGAAATGACTCATTCCCTCCTTCCTGGGACGAGTGTTGCCAGGAAGGCCTCCTTCTTGGCTGCTCAACTTGCCGAGACACGTACTCCCTTCGGGATCAATCATGCATTAAGCGTACGAGCATGGTTTATGGGCACCGAGTATACAGGCGTCTGGGATGATAGATCCGAGCGTGCACGACCTTGCGATGGTGCTCCGCAACCCGACCAGTTGGCACAGGTAATCAACCTGCAATTTCAGAAAATTTTAATAGAAGTTTCATTTTTTTTAATTTGTGATGTATCACAATTGATGATTGTCCTTTGCTTGGGTCAAAATTAAGAGTCATGCTTGGAGAAAAGGAAGCCCCGCTCTCGGTAGGCAGTCATCCCCTCAAACTAGCGTTAATGCTAGAGACAAGATAGATTCCCATATGCCAGCCATAGCCTTGGATTTGCTCTCCATGAACCTCAAGCCTCCATCGCACCTTCGGTTTAGAAATCAATATGCAGAGAGGTTTGCCTTTTTGACCTTTCGCACCTCAAACATGCAGTTGCTGCTTCAAATTGTCGGCCAATAGGGGAGAGACCAATGTAGAAACCGGTGATGCAGCGACGGGGTGTAGGAGCCGAGGAAGCCGCAAGCGATGACCATGAGCAATAGCTACAGCGAGCGTCGTGGCGATGGCCAACAGAGGCCCCAACACTGACTTATCCTGCTTTGTTGACGACGATGGCAACAACCTGAAACGGCGGCTGGTGAGACCTAGGGCTGCGACGACGAGACCTGGAATGATGTCGTACAGTGGCGGAATGGAGGGCTCTAGTGGCTCCGGTTTTCCAAGCTTGGATTCCCGATCTCAGCGGTGTGGCTATACGTTCGGCTGGGTCTGGAACTTCCAGATCTCCGACTCCAAATTTGGATCAAGTGGATTTTCAAGAACTAATTTTCAGTATTTTAATTGTGATAGTGATGAATTTGTGATTTTTTCGAAGCAATCTAAGTGATCGCTGCTAGAATCTCTCCAATTTTCTACCGACAAAGAGAGAAGACTCTCAATGAAAGCACCAATGTTAGAAGAAAATATCCCGGGTAGAGAAACTAGCAGCATTTCAGTATAGTAAAATAGCGTTCCCAATACATGGGGGGTTGATAGCCTATTTATAGGCATCCATCATAAGTCCAAAGTCTAATCTACGTGGGCTTGGCCCATGTTAATAATACATCTCCAAGCTAATGGGCGAACCGGTCCGATAAATAAGTAAATGAGCAAGGGCGACTCCCGCTCGTGAGACTGCGTCTTGGGCCTAGTTGGGCCTAAGCTCGGAGATAACGGGCCGATGGCACTGGGCCTGGCCCATTATCCCAACTGATACATATTGTTTCAATCAACTTACTATCCTATTATGTATATAAACTTCAAATATAAATTAAAATGCTAACAAACATTTTTAACATTTTATGATAAGTGTAGTTTTATTTTTCTTGAATAAAGTGTGTAATATACAGAGTATTTACATACGGAGTATTTACTATAGAAAGAGAATAATATATAAATATTTTAAAAAGGTACAAAACGAATATAAAATAATATGAATGATTCAATAGGCACAAGACTATATTTATTTTAGAATATGATGAATGTGTGAAAGTATTTGAATATTAAATATTAAAAGCGCTTATGAATTCTTATTCAACACTATATTGAAATATTTATATATTCAAATACTCTTTAAAACTAAAACAAATATCAACAAACTTTTTTAATATAAAAAACTGCTAACTACATATTACACGTACTCCGTATTATTTTATGGAGAATTCCCTAAGTAGGAATAAAAATGTTTTGGAATTTCCAAACAAGACTATCATGTTTTTTATTCCCTGAATAGGAGTAAATTTCTGCCAAGATTAGCATTACTAGGCTTTAAGCATGGCATTTTTTCCAAACTTGGCAGAATTACTCATATTTAGGGAATAAAAAATATGATAGTCCTATTTTGGAATTTCAAAACGTTTTTACTCCTATTTAGGACAATTTTCAATTATTTTCTCATAGTGAAAAATAATAATTTTAAATATATTAATATACATTTATTATTATCAATTTTTTATAAAAGTTGACCGGGTTTTTCGGCGTGGACCGGGTTGACCCACCGGGTCCGGGTTGACCCGTGACCCGGTTATTCATCCGGGTCGTTTCACGGTCCGGTTTTTACAACATAGGTTTAGAGTCGACTAAGATGAAGCAACACATGAAATCGGAGTAAAAAAGATAAGAAAGATAGAATGATAAAACGACAAGGAAAGATAAAAAGATAAGATAAAGATGAAATAAAGATAAACATAAGATGAAAATAAAAATGATATGATATGAAATTATGAAAAAAAATAAAAAGCACAAAAGGATAAGAACATAAGAAAGATAATATTGCGATTAGATTCGGACATAAGATTATGGAGTATTTATATACACCGAGTACGATAAATTCAGTAATAATTAATGGTTCTTACCAACCTTTAAATCCTTTATTTCACCTTCCAAAATACAGAGCATGACAACAAAAACATGTACTCTATACTCTATAGAGTCCAAACTTGTCCTGCTCATTGAACTATTGGTGTCATCTATATTATGTAGCATTGCACAGGCTGCACCGATACTTCACTAGTGTACCGTATCGGTGTATAGGACATTTCCCGTATCAGATACTCTTATTTTTTAGTACATTCTAGGATAACAGTATCGTACATTCCCGAGTCGTATCTGTTATATATTTAAACTTTCCAAGTTTGTTTGTAATTATTGTAAAATTTCGGATATTTATCTTGACGGATACATGTATCAACGTTTTTTTTATAAAAATACACCCATAATTACATATTAAAATTCTTTAAAAAAAACTAAAAATAAATTTTACATTACTTTTATATATCTCGCACACAACTCATTATATGAACAACAATAAATGTGGGATGTTAGTGAAGATGACTTTGGGATCGTGGAGGTTATAAGAGTACTTGAGTTCGCCAACCTTTCCATTCATTTTGTGTACTTGCACTTTTAATTTCAAAACTATGATTGTTTGACTCGATTCTCATTTTAAATTAATGCATTATTGGCTATTTTTATACTATCGTATTTCGACATGCATTGGTGTAAATGAGATAAAGTATGAATATATATTTCTAACTACGTTGAGTATGTGAAATGTTTCAATGGCATGAATGATCAAATGTCACAAGATAACATATGTATATATTTAAAAAAAATTGTAATTTTTAATATTTATAAAACACCCCCATAATTTTTTATATTTATAAATACACCTCAAAATTTTTAATATTTATAAATATACCCCGTATCTGTATCCTATTTTTTTTTTGTTTTATCGTATCCCCGTACCTGTTCTTCATTTCCGCGTTTCCGCTTACCTTCTTCGTATTAGAAAAAATTAAACAAATACAAATACAAAATCTCATTATTCGACTCGATTGGGTTCGTTTAGAACCATCTTTCTAACACCAAAAGTATGAGACATCCTTTTGACATACGGAACTGTTACCCCAATACCCCTAAGAAAGCGAAAAAGCCGCCCAAGCTCTACTTTTGGACCAAACCACCCCCTCCTACTATAAAGTCAATTTTGCCAGTCGCCATCTTAACCTCAACCTTACTCGTACCTCCATCCTCATTCGAAATGATCATGGCCATGCTACACACCGATCTCATCATAACAACAAAACCATGGCCACTTTTGGAGCACTTAAACACTATTCATCTATTCTCATAAACTTTATTTTTGAAGTGGATAATAGTAGGGAAGTGTATGATGGCCTTACAGGTACACGGAAATTTTGGCCACTAATTCAAGACACCCGGAGGAACCTTGCAAACTACAATTGGTCCATGTCCCACATACACCCGGACATTAAGAGGGATGCGGGTTATTTGGTTGATTGGCATATTTCTGTAAAAACCAACCATCATCATTTGATGCTACTAATTTCCTTTATGTAATACTCCGTACTAATTTCCCTTATGTAATTTCCCATATGATTTACTGAGTAGGCTTTGGTCCCACCCTCCTCATTGTACTTTCTTTTTCTAATAAACAGGTGAGGTGTTTCTTGACCCTCACCCCAAAAAGCTTCGGCTTTTTGGACAAAAACCGGGGTTTAAAAAAAGAAAAAAATACAAAAACACGAAGTCACGTGGAGGAGCTTTTCCTTTTTGCTTTTAAACTATAGTTGATCTCTTATAAATTTAATACATTCATTTAATTGATTAATTCATGTTTCTATTTTTTGTAAAATTCGGGAAAATACGTTTTATATGGGAAGTAGGAGTTTTTTTCCTTTTTAAATGTACAAACATTGTTTTTTGTTTTAAACGTGTTTTTTGCTCAAAAACAGGTACGTGTTTAAAACGCGTTTTAAAGAAAAAGAAGCTAATTAACTAGGGCGCACAGTACATGATAATATAGGGGTGGGCACGGTCTGGGACGGAACGAGAATTGGGTTGTCCCGGTACCGAATCCGGGTTTATAATAACGGATCAGAACGGGACAGGACAAGATGTTGTCCTTTTGTTGTCCCATTTAAACCGGTATCGGGACAAAACGGGACGGTTGGGGACATCCCAAAAAATTGTAGTGACAAAAATCCAATCCCAAAAATGAAGCAAAGCTATTTGAAAAAAAACTAGCAAAAAAAACTCTATGACAAAAAACAAATTGCAGTTAATCTAGAAATTTGTGATAAAAAAAGCAACCTACCAAATTAGCCGTAAGAAACAAAACTTGCAGGAAAAAAACTTTAACACAAAAAACTATCAATAAATCCGTTTAAAAAAAAGATAAAAGAATACTATAAGAGGTGAAGCCTTTGGGAGTAAAAATCAATTTCTTTTTTTACAGATAGATGATAGTTCATAGTTCATACTATGTAGTTTAGAATTTTTAGGTGCTCTGTTGTTAAACAACTAGTAAATTAATAATCATTGGTATATGGGTTTGTGAAAAAATGATATTCATTATTATTTAGATTACATAATGAGTTGTTGGTAGACCACACTAACCTACTACAAAGTACAATTTGGATTCGGGACAACGGGATGGAACATGATATATTCTACTTGTCCCAGACCCGTTTTGTTTTGAAACGGTTCGGGTCCAATACAGGACAAAAATAATGTGTCCCAAATATAACGGAACAATTTCGAAACGGAACCGGAATATTTCGGCATGGACCAACGGGACCAGGTCTTTTGCCACCCCTATGATAATAATAATTGAATTTGTTCGCACTTTGCACAGGAATATCACTTTGTGTTGGAACTGCACCATTATATATATTTAGAAAAAATTCTACTTTTGGTCCATGACTATTATACCACTTCCACATTTAGTCCCTTACTTTCAGATTGTCCACATTTAGTCCGTGACCATTATCCTCTCACCACCCCTCGTCCTTCCGGCCAAAATTCCGGCAAATTTAATGCAGATTTTAGGTATGAAAAAACAAATTTAATGCAAAGACTGATATGAAAAACCCAAACTGATATAAAATTAAATGCAAAGACTGATTCTGAGGCTGAGAAGTGGACTAAATTTGCCGGAATCTTGGCCGGAAGTGTGACACTCCGAAAATTTCAATAAAATAAAATAAATAATATTAATAATACTAATAAGATAGGGAAAAAAATTCTAATCATATTTGAAAGTGATATTTTATGACAATTATGTTAATCAGATAAAATTTTGATCTAAATAATGGAAGTAACATTTTGGTTTACAAGTGATATATTAAAAGTACACACGTATATAGCACATAATAATATACAAATGTTGACTTTTCTATATATACTTATGGAGTAATGCATACAAATGGGGAAGTAAAATCTAGAATGCAATTATGACCATTGGCTAGACATAAAAAAACGGATAGCTTTTATTCTACTGTACAAGCAATGGAAATGGAGAGACCAATAATAAAAATAAAAATAATAATAATAATGATAATAATTAACAATAAATGAGAAAGAATTCCAACGGATGTAACGCACGACCTAACATATCTTCTTCATTAGTATATGATAAAATATAATTTTATAATATACGTAACTAGTGTTTATCCTATATTTATCACTTTAACTACTTGTATTTTATAGCCTAACTTTTAGGATCTGTAGCTTATCTCTTGTTGAGTTAGTTGAGCAACATGTATGTAAGTGTATATGTATGGCTATGGCCATGACATAATAATGAAATAAAATAAGATAGATACATAGTATAATTTATGTAACAAAAATAAAATATTTAAGATGAAATAAGTAGCATAAAAGTATAAAAGTAAAAATAAAACATATACTATTTATCTGATTAAAATAAAGCAGATATAATCTATTTGATATAGTACAGATGTGATCCACCAAATA